ATTAGATTCAGCCCAATACTCTAGCTTATCACTATGTTTCTGGATCTTGACTCTTTCATCCAACATGTGAGCCATCCTTTCCTGCTTTGTGTCATCTCCAAATTTGATTAACATGTCATCAATGCCTTCATCAAAGTCATGAATAAAATTGTTAAATAGAACAGAGCTAAGCATGGATCCCTAGAGTACTCCACTGGAGACTGGCTACCATGTTGGCATCGAACCTTTACTAATTACTCTTTGAGTTCAACCATCCAAACCAGTTATGAATACATACTGTCTAGTTCATATCTTTCCTTTTTCTCCCCAGAATAATATATTGAGATATTTTAACAGAAACTTTGCTAAAATCTAAGTAAACTATATTCATAGCATTCTTCTCATCTATTAGTTTAGTAATCTTAAAAAAAAAAAAGAAAATGAGGTTAGTGTGGAACTACCTGCTCTTGATGAAGCCATACTAGTTTTCAAAAATGCCCTTTCTATGTGTTCATTAACCATATCTTTAATGATTTGCTCTAGAATTTTCTCAAGAATGGAGGTCAAGTTTGCTGGCCTATGGTTCTCTTATTCTGGAAGATCTTGTGGTATGTCAAACATTTCTACAGTCTTTTAACTGTTGCTCACAGTAGCTTAATCATATCTGCCAGCTCTTGTCTGAAATGAATGCCACAAATCTTCCACTGTCATTGATGCTGAGCCCAAACCAAGCAAGTCAGGGTTGAGAGAGGCTGAGTGTTGATCAAAACGAGTGAGTAATCTTTACTGTTTTGTTTAGTGATAAGCAGAGACGGGGAGAACAAAAAAGAACAAGGGAAAAAAATGGGACCACTTTTATTTATTTATTTACTTTAAAATATTTCATTTCAAAAATTCTTCATTTAGTGAACATCAAACAAAGCAAGCTTTTTTACATACATTGTAGAATGGAAGGAGACAGTTGTATGTGAAATTGTGAATCTCCATCGTAATGAGCTTGATTTTCTTTTTAAGTACATAATGAATTCAACATATAATTTTTAAAACTATTCTGTTTATATTTGATTTCTTCTAGTTTTCTTTCATTCTCTTTTGGTGGCTCCATCTTTCTCTAACTTGCCCTCAAATAGAAAAAAAAACCTGTAGTATATAACAAAGCCATATAGTGAAACAAAACAAATTCCCATGTTGTGCATATAAAACATATGTATATATGTATGTGTATATATATATGTATAATATGTAATATATATATATATATATAATTTCACATCTGAGATCCATCATCATCATCATCATCATCATCATCATCATCATCATCTCTCTGTCTCTGGAGGTGGGTAACATGCTTCGTCACTTGTTCTTTGAGATTAGAGTTGGTCATCATCCATCAAAGTTCTTAAGTGTTTCAAAACCGATTTTAAAATGTTATCGTATAAATTGCTCTGATTCTGATCACTTCACTTTGCATCAGTTCATACAAATCTACCTAGGTTTCTTCAAAACTTTTTTTTTCATTTTTAAGGGCACAATAATAATATTCTATTACATTTATGTATCATAATTTGTTCATTTCTCAATTGATGGGCACACTTAGTTTCCAATTCTTTGCCCCACAGTTACTATATACATATATCTATATACACACACACACACACACACACACACACACACATATGTATCCCTTTTTGCTTTCTTTTATCTCTTTGGGATAATTATGTGTTGAAGTTTAGTGATGCACAGTTCCAAATTACTTTCCAAAATGATTGGACCAATTCGCAAGTTCACTAAAAATGCACTCATACTGTAGGAAGCCACTTTTGGATGTTATATCAGCAAGAACTGCAACAACTGAGAGGCAAGATCTGGAGGTGATATTTTCTTCCAACTTTCATGTTTTCATGAAAGAAGTAGATGAAGTGATAAAAGAAAACAAAGCCTCTCTTGTTGGGCTCACAAATAAGCAATCCTTTCTTACAGGATTCATATGACAGGATCATATATCTCAGATCAGGAGATCTCTCTGCCTCCAGTGGTTGCCATAAGGTTTGCAATCATGAATATGAAATGAATGGCAGTGGCCTTTACTGATGTCCAAACTAAGGGCTATAAAAGCTTTCTTATCAATACAAACTGATTTAAGGGTAACATAGAAAGAGTAAATGGGAAAGTATTTGGAGAGTAAGCAATGAACCAGGATGAAACAGTGAGAGTAGGTATGTGTGTATATGTGCTTTATATCACTGATTAAAGTGTTGGTAGAAGGGATGTTCTTTATCTGCGGCATGCAGGGGAAGCTATTGATGTGATAATGCTTCTCTGATTTATTGATAATCATTGTGGCTTTAGTCACAGACACACAAAAACTAATTGTTTTCTAAATCATTCATTATAGTGGTCCTTGAATATGCGCTAGTCATGTTGCCCTTTTGGGATTCAAGTGCATGTGAACAAATAAGTTTTTTTTTATTCAGGGACAATGACAGGAAGAGTCAGAGTGCTGAAGATTAATATCAAGTTGTCATATAAGATGGAAAAAAAGCTAGCTAATAATTTTTTTTAAAAAACCCATCTTTTGCCTAGAGCTTCTTTTACAGTCACATGAATCATAACATTGCTCCTTTAAGCTTGACAGTGATAAAAACTACCATTGTAGAGTCATCTGAGCCCTTCCTAGAACTGCAAGTTAGCAGAGAAGTGCGCCAAGTTTTTAGCTAGGAATTCTGGGAGTTGGCAAAATTTGCTTCTTTTGTTTCCTAATACCAGCTTTGCATTGCACCTTGCTTTGTTGATTGTACTGTTAATAGCCAATGTAATCATGGTGCTCCATTTGCTAAAAACCAAACCAAGAAAATAATTTTATTCTCTGTCCTCTCTGATAATTTGAAGTTTTTGTTTTTCAAATATAACTGAAAATGGGCCTACAAAAGACTTGTCTTATTTAGAAGAAAGCTTTTATTTAAGAGGTCTTGAGATCTCCATCAGGTAATGGAGAATCTGCCTGAAACTAAAATTCAGTCAGATTAGCACATTAGTCTGGAGGCTCTCAACTGTGATCTGAATTAACTTTTATTTACCTGTTTCCTACTCATCCTGTTGTCTTTTTGTTATCGTTAGTGTGTGTGTGTGTGTGTGTGTGTGTGTGTGAGGGGGTGGTGGTGGTGTGTCATGAGCATATGTGTGTTTAATGACTTTGTGTATAATTCTTCTGGTTGATAGTGATGGGCTGTGACATCCTCATTTAGGAACCAGGACACTGTGCTCCAACACATTATGCAATTCTGCTTTGAGGATTTTCTTCCTTGCCCCAGAAGAATAGGCACTCTTATTTCTTCTGGCTGACGTATGACAATACAGAACTCGCATTCATAGTACTTTTCATATATAGTTTGATTGGCAGAACTGGGAAACGAAGTTGTGCTTTCTCAATGCCACAGTTTTGCAAGAAAACCACCACTAGCCTTAAGTCTTTAAGACAACATTGGTCAGTGTGAATGCTGGTTTTGCTTACTTTTCAGTTATGGCTCTGAGAGTACAAGGTCCTGTTCACTGACCTCCTGAGATTTTCTTTTGCTAATTTTTGTTGTTGTTGTTGTTTAGTTGAATAGTCATGTCTGATTCTTCTTGACTCCATTTGGAATTTTCTTGGCAAAGATACTGGAATGGTTTGTCATTTGCTTCCCCAGTTCATTTTACAGATGAGGAAACTGAGGTAAACAGGGTAAGTGACTTGCCCAGGGTCACTTAGTATCACTAAGTGTCATCACTTAGCTTACTTTTTGCTAATTTTATGAAAACTAAATTCCTTGTTAATAAACCAAGCTCCTTTTTTTGATAACTAGATGAAGAAAAATGTTTCTTTTTTTTTAAACTGAGGATTTCTTCTCTGTCTCGAAAGAGGAAGCATAGCAAAATGACAGAGTAAATGGGGAGCTGGTACTAAAACTTGAATTCTAGTTCTGATCAGACTCTATAAAAAATGCATTCAAAACCTTGGTTCTTCAGTTTTCTACCAGGAAAAATGGCCTTAATAATATTTACTCATAAAATGCTTGGTGAATATTAGATAATGTCAAAGGAAATTTAGTATTAGGCAGTATTCTATTGCTATTTTAAGTAGCAGATGAATATGGAAAGGAGAAGTGTCATGTACCTCATGCAGGCTGCTAAATGGCATTTCGTTTGGTACTTGGATTTGGTTTGTATAAAACTTGCTTTTTAACATAGCTGAAGGTCAAGCCTGGATTCTCTATTTTGAGTTTACCGGTTAGAGATATGTTAAATGAGATCAATGTAACTTTACTTAGCAGATGCATGATTGCTGCCTTCAAATATTTAAAGGGTAGCCATATGGAAAAAGGATTAGACGGTTCCGCTGAACCCCAGAGGTTAGGACTAGGAAGAGGAAGTAGGAGATTTGGGAAGGAAAATTTTAGCTCAACATAAGCAAGAAATTTCCAGCAATCTTAGCTGCCATGGGAATGGGCTGCCTTCATAAAGCTATGAGTTGCCCTTACAATTACAGTATAGCTTTCAGCTGAGATTAAATGACCACTTGTCAACTTGTTGTCAGGGGAAATTCATACTTCACATAGGAGTTGGATTATTGCTATCCTCCTCAAACCTTCCATTTCATTGTTATTCCCCACACATAACGTTCCTCCTCCCACCTCTTTGCCTTTACACAAGTGGCCCACCATATCGGATCACATTTTTACCTCTACCTTATAGAATTTCAAGCTTTCTTTAAGATGGAGCTCAAGTGCTGCCTCCTATAGGAGACCTTTCCATTTATTCTCTTTTTTTTTTTTTGAAAAAAGAGTATTGACATCTTTTGTTTTTATACCATTTTCATTTTCTAATGTATCACTTGTCACTCTTTTTCCCATAGAGCAATCCCTTATAACAACAAAAAAAATTAAGAGGGAAAATAGTTCAAGAAAACTAACCAATTTATTTAAAAAGTCTGACATTATTAAATGTTTCACTTCATAGTTCTGTACCTCTTCATCGATCTTCTTTGGGACAAAGTTTGCTCGTTATATTTTCAGCATTCAGTTTTGATTGTGTTGCTGATAGTGTTGATCTTTCCATTTTCATTGTGGTAGTCATTGTGTGTAGTATTTTCTTGGCCCTACCTACTTCACTTTACCTGTTGAATACAGAAAAGCATGGGTAGACTTATACTGAATATTCTTTGAACCACTATCTTATTTACTTACTAATGTATGTCTCCTATCTTCCCAATACAATGTAATCTCCTTGAGAGCAGGGACTATTTTGTTATTTGTTTTGTCTTTGAATGCCAACTGCCTAGCACCATGCTAGTACACAGGGATAGGGACTGGGCCCGTAATTTCATTGTTATAGGTAACTCCAGTTTTCCTGGAGGAAACTCTCACCACCAATGCAGGTCAATCAATAAATTAATAAATGTTTATTAAGCACCTACTAGGCAGAGACAGCTAGATGGCTCAGTAGATAGAGCACTGGGCCTGGAGTCAGGAAGACCTGAGTTCAGATCTGAACTTGGACACTATCTGCATGACCCAGGGCAAGTCACCTTACTTCCGTTTGCCTTTTAATCCACCGGGGAAGAAAATGGCAAACCACTCCATTATCTTTGACAAGGAAACCCCATGGACAGTATGGTCCTTGAGGTGATGAAGAGTCAGACACAACTGAATGACTGAACAACAACAACAAATGTGGCAGGCGCTGTGGTCAGTGTTGGAGATACAAAAAGAGGCAAAAGACAGTTCCTGCCCAAGGAGCTTACAATCTAATGCAGAAGAGGTCAGCCCCTTCTCTGCAACTTCAAGTGTTAAGGAGTGGCCCAGAAAGTTCAGAGGTGAAGGGATTTATTTGCTCAGGGTGATATAGGCAATATGTATCATAGACAGGTCTTCCTGGCTCCAAAGCCAGCTCTCTAACCACTACACCACACTTCCTCTCCATAGCTGATACTTATTACATGTTTATCAAACTGAATCAAATATGATCTTTTTCCCTCCAAAAATCAAAATGTTATAACTCTAATATAATTAAAGTGAACACATCCATGCCTAATTTGACCCTACTGGGGAACATTTGTTGTTTAAGGAGGATCTTTTCCACTGTGGGATAAAGGAGTCACTGAATTCTTTTTAACCTGAAGCAAAGAAAGCTACAGGACTATTTATTTTCAGCATTCAAGTTTACCAAGGATTTTTACTGGGATGACTAGTTCTTCTCCTCTGAGAAGATAACTGGAAAAATTTGATCAAAATCAAGAGAGATTTCAGACAGATAAAAGGAAAACCCCATTACAACAACATCTATAAGGTATCTAATTATTTTGTTGTAATGAAATTTTATTAAAAATTGATCTATTCCTTAAAAAATCACATGTCCAAGCTGCAGCATCTAGACATGAAATAATACTGATGAAAAGAACAATCAATCATGTACTCATAGGATTTAGTGCTGGAAGAAACCTTAGAGATCATCCAATCTATTCCATCAATCAACAAGTATTTATTAAACATTATGTGTCAGGCATGGTGCTGTGGAAAGAAGTGGTGTCAAACTAGAGTATATAAAGTCCTGGAAGTTTAAAGATTTTGTTTTGTCTCATAATCCCCTGCATCTAATGTAGTATCTTGTTCATAGTAGGCACTCAGTAAATGCTTTTTGAATTGAATTAAACAGTATTACCCCCATTCCTTTCTTCCTCATAGTTGCACTTTTTGTGGGGAATAATTTGGGAATTTAGCTGGGAGTTGGTTGGGTTAGGGATAGGATCTTGCAGTGGGAGAGTAATTGCTCCTTAATGCAAGGATAAAACTGTACTAAGCTTCATTGGCTACAGATCAACTCTCCTTTCATGCCTTTGAGATCAATAGCTATCATTCAAGTTCTTTTCTGATTGTGATTTTACTTGGGCAGGGACCAGGGAAGGCATTTATAAAGAATGAATCATGCCCTGTAGGTAGATCAAAAAAATACTTCATGGGCCATCTTTTGGGATATGGAAATAGCTTTCTGTATAGAATAATTCTCTGCAATGTTATTTATTCATTATAACAGGATTTTATCTGCATAACAAGTTACGCATCTAGGAAGCTCATTCTTAAAAACTGGAACAGAGGACTGAGGACAGTTGGGTATTTTATGATGAGTTTTAAGAGATCCATTTACCTATGATGATTAATACATATTTGTCCAGTCAAAATGGTCTGCTTAGTGTAGTATTCTCATCCTACCCACCTCCATCTTTATGATCTTCCTTATATTGTGCTTTATTATTGGAATGGTCTCCCTGTCTTCCATTATACCCTTACCCCATTTCTGCTTTTTAAAAATCTTCCATTCCTTCAAGGCCCTACTCGAGTTCTACCTTCTCAATAAGTCCCCCTCCCCTGCCAAAATTAATCGCTTCCTCCTTGAATTTCTCTTTTGGCTTTTTTCCAGACCTCTTTTTTGCACTCAACTACATGCTATTTTATATCATAATTACCTGGCTGTTCATTCTTTTTATTAGATTGCAAGTCTCTTGAAAGCAGATTCTATGCCTTATTTGACTTTTGGGCCCTCAGCACCATGAATATTGTTTTGCAAATAATGGATACTTAATAATTGTTTGTTGAATGGATATCTAGCCTCTGAAAGTCTTTTTTTAAAATTTTGCTTTTAATACTCTTGTTCTATGATATACTTTTTAATTTTTTAGGATTTCAAAGACATGATTTTATCAATATTTTGACTGAGTAGACTTTCCTAGGAGGTGGTTTTTGAGAGTTGCTGTGAACAAAAAAATGCATTGCCCTGAGCCAATATAATAATGTGTCTCTCCTCACTTAGCTAGTCTGGTTTTCAGTCAGGCTTCTCCTAGGCCTATACCAAAATCCTCTCAGCTTAGTAGTACCTTTCAGAGTTTGTTGGATTCAAGGTTATATCTATACCATGAAAAAGCATTGCAATAAGACTTACATGAAGGTAAGACATTTAAGGTTTGAAAATTATTCATACTCATATCTAGTAGAGATATGAATATTTGGAATAACTATTTGTTTTTCACTGGTTCAGCTCAGAATTTATAGAATTGCCTTTTGTTGTGGCACCAGGTATGTTATTCCACTCCCATTTTGTGATAACACCCTCCATTAAAAACATATTAAATAGTGATACACAAATTCAGAAGTCTATAACAAAGGATAATTTATATTGCTAAAATATTCAGTTAGTGGTTTAAGAGGAGCTATGTATCTACTGACCTTTGATTTATTATTTATCATCTGCTATTCGGTTTCCATGTCTTTTTTAGTCACTGAAATACAAAATGGACTCAGTACAGTGGAATTTCTTAGTTAAATTTAACCACATATACAATTTAATACATCTCCTACAAACATAAACTTATTTTAATGGGAATAAAACAAATTTTAAAGGTGAAATATTTAAACCATAGTCTGATGCTGAATTTTCCCTTAGCTATTCATAATATTCCCTTCTTAAATAAAACACACACATGCACACAAATCTATGTATTACCATAATACCAAAAATGTAGAAAATCCTTTGGGGAATGAGTTTGGAGAAGAATAAAACATGATCAATTTATCAAATGATAGATGATCCACAGGGTCCAATTTTTTCCCTTTTCCCTTGTGGATTCACTGGCTTTAGGTAGTTTGTGCACTTCCCTCCTTCCAATGCTCAGAGTTCAGGGGCTTCTTTAAATACAAAATGGTGCTCTTTTCTCCACTATCCTTTCTGGCAAATGTTTGACTCTTCATGCTCACTGAATCACCCTTCCCTAGTCTCACTCATACAATGGAAATAAAATTATTTGAGAGAGATGAAGAGAGGGAGGCAGAGACAGACACAAAGAGACAAGCAGAGACAGAGAAACGCAGAGATAGAATGGAGAAAGCTGGGGAGAGAGAGACAATGATAGACAGAGATTGAGAGAGGTAGACAAGGGGAGAGAGAGTGAGACAGAGACAGAGACAGATGGAGAGAAACAAAGAGAGAGACAGAGGCAGAAGAGAAAGAGGGAGAGAGAGAGAAAGAGAAGAGGAGAGAAAGTGAGGGAGAGAGATTAACAAAGATTACTTTTATATTCAGGAGGTTTTCCTTATTTTCTGTCAACTTTACAGCTTTTTCTATTCATCAACATAGTCCTTATCTTCATCATCAAGAACCATATAGTTTGAGGGCAGTCAGGTGATGCAGTGGATAGAGCACTGGCCCTGGAGTCAGAAGGACCTGAGTTCAACTCCAGCCTCAGACACATGGTATTTACTAGCTGTGTGACCCTAGGCAAGTCTTTAACCTCGATTGCCTCACCAAAAAAAAAAAAAGCAAAAAACCCCATATAGTCCTAGGCTAGATTAGACATTAAACAAAGAAATGTCATGATTCTTTGGTGTTTAGTTTCATCAGTTATTTGTCCTATGATTGTAATTAATTGAAATTTTTTTTGAGTTTCTATCATTGTCACTATGGCTGAGGAAGTTCTTCTAGACTTTGTGGGGGATGGACTTTGCAAAGATGAATAACTCATTTAAAAGGAGCAGAAATGAAATTGCTAGATACACAGAGTACATAGTACAAAGAGATCAGCACTCTGTAATTTCTTGCTCAGCTAAATTAGATTAATGACCTGTCTTGCATTGATTTATTAGTGTGCATTTTTCTTTTTTAGTATCTCCTTTTATCTGTCTCAGACACACATAAGTGTATACTTTCTGAGTTCCCTGTTATTATCTATTGCACTTATGTGATGGTTAATTTCTACGAAAGAATAGCAATTTATTGGTTCCAAATAAATAACTTTCTGTGTGGGACAACTGAAACATTTCCTTTCTTCCTATCTTCCTTCCTTCCAACCAATTTTACTATAAATATTTTCAATGTAGAACTCTAGTAGATACTATCTTCCTATAAATCTTCATATGATGTTATTCAGTGCAATTGTCTAATTGTATTAATGTCAAAGCAAACTTATATTGAAGCACAAATAAATGATAAATATGACAGAATACAGCATCAAATTCAATTTCAATAAATATGTAGTGTGGTGAAACAAGCACTGGACTGGGAGTCTGAAGAATTGTGTTCTTGTCTTGGCTTCATTGCTAGCTAGTTATGCCACCTTGGACAAGTTACTCCTCCGAGCCTTCATTTTCTCATCTGTTTTTGTTGTTAGTCAATTAGTTATGTCTGATTCATGACTTCTTCTTGACCCCATTTGGGGTTTTCTTAGCAAATATACTGGAGTGATCTGCCATTTCCTTCTCTAGGTGATTTTACAGATAAGGAAACTGAAGCAAACAAGATTAAGTGACTTGACAAGGTCACACAGCTAGTGTCTAAAGCTGAATTTGAACTCGGGTCCACCTGACTCTACGGCCGGCCCTCTATTCATTATACCACCTTGCTGCCCCTATTTCTCATCTGTATAATGGTATAATAGCACTTGTGTGGCATCATAGAGTTGTAGCAAGAAAAGAATACTGTCAACCACTGTAGGAATATGAGTTTATCAGAGCATTGTCAGAATAAAATGGAGAGGTAGCTGCCCAAGGTGTTGAAACTAAGACCAGTTCTTAAAGGAAGCCTAAAGTAATGGGGGAAGGGGGAACCATAAAAGATTTTTCATTTACTTTACATGATTTTCATACCTACATATTCTATATATTTGGCAATTAAGGACTGTGCGGAAATTTCACTAAACATATTTTCAAAGGTCTTTACAACTATAAGGATGCAAATCTTTTTTTTTCTCTTTAGGTGGTACAGTACATAGAGCATTGGACCTGGAATTAGGAAGAGTTGAACTCACATCTAGCCCAAGACACTTACTAGGCATGTGACCCTGGCCAAATCATTTAACCTTTGTCTATCTCAGCTTCCTTAATTGTAAAATGGGGATAATAGTACCTACCTCCCAACAGTTGTGAGGATCAAATGAGAAGTGCTCTGCAAATCTTAAAGCACTATGTAAATGCTATTGTGATTATTATTAAGCACATGCTTAAGATTCTGATAGTTTTTTAAAATGTAAGCTTAAATTTCATGAAACTTCTAGATTCTTTTAAACTTTACATTTAACTACATATGGGAAAAGGTCTGTCATATTCAGTCTAGTAATTTATGCTATAGACAGTAAGATAACATTGAAGATCCTTGTCTTTTAGTGTGATTTTATGAATGGAATGAGGATCAAGGAATCTTTTTATATCAAAAACTTTAGACCTATATTAAAGAAAAGACAATAACAGTGAAGGCTCATATATGTTAAAAATTGACTCGAGATTTTTCAAAGATAAAAAGAAATATGTACTATTTCATTAAATTGTTTTGTAAATTAAGAAGTTGGCACATATATAATAGTGTCCACATCATACTCTTGTGCTGAAATTTTTGGATTCTTTTACTAGGTTCACTGAGGGCTGTTTCACTTTGTCAATTATATAAACAACTTCTCTAAGCCTCAACAAGTGTACCACTTGATCCATAGGCCAAGCAAAAGGCAATAGCCTCCAATAGCAAAACATTTAATTAAGACATAAAAATAATGTAAACAAGAGAAAAATGAGTAGTGAACACATTTGCTGCTTCCATACACAAATGGGTCCAGTCTCTTAAAATCAGTACTTAGTGTAATACTTATCATCACAGTACCTAATACATAATAGATACTTAATAAATGTTTATTGATTGATTTTTTTTAAAGTAGGCAATGGGTTAAGTGACTTGCCCAGGGTCACACAGCTAGTAACTGTTACATGTCTGAGGCCAGATTCGAACTCAGGTGCTCCTGAATCCAGGGTCGGTGTTCTACTCACTGTGCCACCTAGCTGCCCCTGATTGATTGATTGAAATCCCGAAGTACTGGAGTAGGAGGAAGTGGTAAAAATCTTATAGATAACTAACACTTATAGATAACTCCCATACATGGGTAGCCCAGGTGAGGAAACTATCAGTTTTCCCCCTTTCTCTTCTAAGCATCTTCACAGTGACTGTCATAGAGATCTACTATAGCCCCTTGATATAGGTTTCAACTTGACTCTTAACATTTGGGCTACAAATTTCTTCCACATGGAGTTGACCTCCTGGATTCTTGTTCAACATTTTTAGGATGACTTCTTTAGCCTTCTCTCCATGGAAATCTCCATCTTCTCTCCAGCTTTATACCTTTTTACACAATCTGTTTTCTAGACACAAGTCTCTCGGTATTTCTGATGTCTTAGAGCTCCTCTTAGTGAATCTGATGATTCTGAATGCCTCTCAGCATCTCCTTTGCCTTGGTCATTACTGTTCTTTGAAATCAGGAAGTTTTTCATTAAAGACAATGTGACAAACCCTATGAAACATATAACTCTTTGATAGATACTACAAATAATAAGATAACTGTAGTTAACGCTAACTCAAGGGATATAAGAAGAACAAAGAAGGAAACACAGAGACTAACAGACACAGAAAAGAAAACAAAAATCAGAGAATCTAAACATTGGATGAAATATCATAGATGTTCTAATAAACTTACACTTGTTCAAAAATCCTTTCTATGAAGTGTCAGTAAGTGCTTATCTGGCTTCTCTTTGAAGACCTCTAGCGAGGAGGAAGCCTATCTCCACAGGCAGTTTATTCTGAAAACTCTAATTGTTAGAAAAATTTTATTTCTATCCAACTCAAATCTGCCTTTCTACAACTTTCCCTCAATGTTCCTATTTCTGCCTTCTGAGTCCAAGCAGAAAGAAGTCTAATCCCATTTATGCACTTCTGCATGACAGCCCTAATGTTCTTAAAAATTATTTTCACGTTCCCCCATGTCTTCTCTTCCCCAATTCTGTCAATTGATCCTTATATTACATGTCTTTCATTTCTCTTACCATCTGGTTTGCATTCTATTAGAAAAATCTGTATGTCTATGGCCTTTCTAAAATGTGGCACTCATGAGGGACTGGCCAGGTAGATACAGCTTAGCAGGACTGGACTTTTCTATATTTTAGCTCCCATGCCACTTTTATTTTTAACATTCTTTTAAAAAGTGTTGAGCTCTAAATTCTTTTACTCCTTCCCATGTCTTCCTCACCCACTGAGAAGGTAAGCAATTTGATACCAATTATACATGGAAATCATGCGAAACATAATTCCATATTATCCATGTCTGCAAAAAAGTCAAGAAAAATAAAGTGAAAAAGTTATACTTTAATCTGCCCTCGGAATTCATTAGTTCTATCTTTGGAGGTGGATAGCATTTTTCATCATGAGTCTTTTGGAATTGTCTTGATCCTGTGCCTTTCTTAATGAAGCCTAGGATAGCATTAGCTTCTTTGGCTACCATATTGCCCTATTAACTTAAAATGTACCTACCCTAAAACCACTACATCATTTTCAATAGAATATCACCATAAAGTTTAAAAATGTAAAAATCAACATTTAGATTTTTAAAAATAAACATTATAAGTAGAGTATTGAGGAGTCATGGCAAAACTCAACTAAGCTTATTTGATTTTTCATAGTTCTAGTCTATCATAATTTATGATTATGAGTGAGTTACCTATATTTATTCCACTTGAAAATTTGAAGAGCATAGTTTCTTCCAATCCATAGATAAAAATGTTAAATAACAAGGCAAAAGACTGATCTCTGGTGTACCAGGCTACCTTTTGGACTGACATGGCTCCAGTAACATCTGCTCTTTCGTTATAGTCATTTAACCAGTTCTTAATCTATCTAACATTTCTACGATGTCAGCTACATTTCTCCAAATTTTCCACAAAGATAGAATGAGAAACTTTGTCTATGCTTTGCTAAAATTCAACCCTACTATATCTATAGCTTTTCTTTTATTTACTATTCTTATTACCTTGTCATAAAAGAAAATAAAGTTTTCTGGAATTACCTCTTCTCAGTGAAGCCATGATAGCTTTTAGTAATCACAATTCCCTTTTCCAAATACTCACAACCTCCCTTTAGTAATACAGGATGAATTTTTTTTAGGAATGTAATTCAAGCTCACAGCCCAATAATTTGCAGGCTCTGTCCTCTCCCTTTTTTGAATATGGAGACACTTGTCCTTTTATCAGACCATAATACCTGTTCTGTTCTTTAAGATCTTTCAAATATTGTTGGCAATGTCTCAGCAATCACAAATATCAGTTATTTCAGTGCCTTAAGATATAGCATGTTTGGGCAGAGTGACTTGAACTTGAAGGCAGCTAAATATTATCTCACCATTTCCTCATTAACCACATTCCCTCCAGATATTCAATTTGGACAGAAAAGTAGAAAAAAGTGTTGAGGACTCAGCTTCCTCATCACTGTCCATTATTATCATCCCATCTGCCCCTAGTTACAATCTTTTTCTTTCTTTGATTTTCCTCAACATCACTTAAAAAAAAAAAGGTCTTTTCATTATTAGCATTCACCCCCAGCCTAAGGTCATTCTGGACTTCCACACTCCTGAGATAATTCTTAGAGGACCATACTCCTCTTTTGTTTTCATCCTCAGTTATTTACATTTGCTTTTATTCTCTATGTAAATTAATGAAAATATGAGATGGTTGACAAGTTTGCTGTGCAGCCATATTCATCTCTTTAGACAGATTGTCTTTTCTGTTTCATTATAATAATTTCTACTGGTGTCTAAAAAATCTTCTACCATTCAACTCAATTGACTTCCCCTGTAGAATATTAGGCCATAGGATCCTACTTATCCTTTCTCAACTTTTTGAACTCTCTTAACCCCAAATTCAGAATTAGTATTAGACTACGGCTGGATTTCATCTCCTCTTCACAAACTGCATGATGGAAAAGTCACTTGCCTCCAATATTCCCACCATTTTGACTTTGGCATCCAGTTCTTTGTTCATCAGAATCAGGCCCAGGAAAGCAATTACCTTTATTATTTTGAAGGATAAAATTATTACTAGGTCAGGTCACAAACTTTTGATTGCTCTGCTTTTGGCAGATACTATGCTCCCTTTGATTCCAAACCTGAATTTCTGTGCCAGGTTTGTGATCTGTTTCCCAAACTCCATGTCTAATTCCTCCTCCTGTATTGGTAGTCTATACTATACTCCAAACTTATTATAATTTCTGTTTCTCTCTCAGCTGATCTGCATTCTAATTTTTTCTCCATATTTCCCCTTCACCTTTTTGGATTTTTTCATGCAAGGATATTTGATCAATGTGCAATGATCCTCTGCTATACCTTATATAATTTATTTTCTTTTTCAAAAGGTCTGAATCTACCTAATTCTTTCTATTTTGTCCACACAGATAGTAAAAAAGACTTTGTCACTGTAGCTAAGTGGTGCAGTGGATAGAGTTTTGGGCCTGGAGTCAGAAAGACTCATGTTCCTGGGTTCAAATCTGGCCTCAGACACTTACTAGCTGTGTAAACCTGGGCAAGTTACTTAACCCTGTTTGCCTCAGTTTCCTCATCTGTCAAATGAGCTGGAGAAGGAAATGGCAAACCATTCCAGTATCTCTGCCAAGAAAATCCCAAATGGAGTCATGAAGAGGTGGACACGACTAATTGACTAAACAACATTGTTATATGCTTCCAAAACTGGATTCTGGTCATGAGTCTTACCCCACTAACTCTGTCTCAGGAGGAAGGAGCTTCTTGTGTTTCAATGCATAATGAAGTAGAGCCACCAGTACTATAAGGTAAGAGGTTATCTGATACAGGCAGAGCAGAAAGAAATGAGTAGTGGAGGTGGATGACTCCCTGCTACAGAGCGTTAAGTCTGACTTAAACAATAAAGAGGTCTCATGAGACTCACGACCTAAAATGTTTCAACTCCCACACAGGAAGTACTTCATACCTACTATCTAGTTCCAAATAATGAGTGGTCCTCATTCTTTCCTTTCTTCTCTGTCACATTCTTCCATCTATCAACATCCTTAATAACTTACCTTTAAAAAATTAAATTGGTTCTCTCTGTCTTGTACAGGCTGAATGTACAGCAGCAACTCTCAGGCCTGACCCCACTGCTGACTGGCAAGGAAGCTTTTACCAGCTCCATTTCCGACTTGGGCCAGTTTTCCCCTCCCTACAGCCTAGTGGCCCCCTGCTTCTAGGGGACACATCATATTGGTGCTGGACTTCATGTAGCCTCTGCAGCTCAGAACTACTGAACTCAAGTGATCATTGGCCTCAGACTCCTCAGTAGTAAGGATTATGGGTGGACACCACCACACTACAGTTTAGATTTCATTTTCCCTCTGATAGTTTATATCCTTTCTTTTTGTTTCTTTGCAATACTTATTCCATTCTTTCATGGACTGCTCCATTCTCCCAAATAACCTTGAGGGGAGAAATGTGTTCCTCCAGTCCTTTTACCTTCTTCTCTAGGTAGAAGACCATTGGATACTTTATATGTATACAGAAACACAAACATGAAATTCAGATCCCTGAAAAATTCTTACCTGCTTTCCATACTTGCTTGGAACAATGTATTCAACACTTTGCCTTCCTTTTGATAATTTCCTTGGCTAACCCTTCTGGCTCACTGCTGTGCAAACTGCCCATTTGCCATGTCTACCCGCGTACTGAGGATTCAGTTGCTATGGACTTCTGGCAAGACATTTAATTGCCACATTTTTTGGTGATAGGGTAATGCAATCCACTCTTAAATGACAGCACATGCTTGCCATGCCCTAATGCAGATAGAAGAAAACAAAATCTGATCCATCCAGAAAAATCCAATTCTATAATTCATCTACCCAGTCTCCACATATTTCTCGCACATTTCCTTGTCTTCATCACTACTAGAAAGGGAGGTTTAATATACTTAACACACAGAAGAAAAGACAAGACAGAAACACTCAAGGCCTAAGACACAAGCATATGGAAACCAGTCCATATGAAGAATCTAATTCTACAATGAGGTCTTTTCACCTTGTTTCACCTTGATACAGATCTCAAGCTATCTCACTGTACTTCCCTTGACCCTTGGCTGTCTGTCCCCACTTAGGGACAAGGCTTAATTGTTTAGCAGGGGGAATCAAATACAAAACAGGCAGAGGTAAACACAAGAGATGAGCTTACAAGATACAAAATATAAATAGGCTCAAGCAGTCAGAAGCAAACAGACAATATAATAATGGAAGGTCACGTTCTTAAACAAGGCTCTGGTGCCCAGTTTTTTTTTTTAATAGAAATGGCCACAAAACAATATTTAATGAACAATACATGATATTATACAGTATAAAGATTTTTTAAGTCTATAGAAGTCAACTAAATGTTACAATACAGTAACTAGTCACATAAAATAAAATTGTATTTCACACGGCAAAAGTATCATTTTGCACTGCACAAAGCTCTTATCTTTCAGCTTTATAACATTTGCTTTATTTTTACTGCAATAGATCAGAAGAAGAAAGAACACCAGCAGGGCCATAGCATTTGTACGGGTTTCTTGGGGTCAGTTTTGACAGGAATCTTTGAGTTAGGTTGTGAAATAGGGGCACTTGAAGGTTTTTAAAAGAAATGCCCCCAAGTCTGTCTTTTTAGTGCCTTTTATTGTTGCTGTTGTTACCTTAAGATTGCCTGTAGAAGGCAAGGAGATTAGAGATAAGTTGTGGTTCTTACTATGTCAGAAAGCATTAAGTTCCTGCTTTCTTAATCTCCCAGTTCAGCAGTGCTGATACCTTATACCTGCCTGCTATGATCATGCTGTGAACATCTGCCTTTAAAGATTGTATAGTACATATCTAGGGGGCCAACTCTCATTGGTATCAAATTTTCTCTTCTTTCATGCCTTATCACCTTGAAACTTCCTATTGTAAAGGAACTTTAGGCGAAATGGTGGCCAGATGAGACACATAACACAGTTTGATTTCAAATATGCAAAAACCACCCACAAATCCTGTTACCTTGCCTTATAATACTGTATTGTGACCAGCATTAGGGGTACTGTGTTTTTTTTTTTCCTTCTCAGCCTTTTAAAAAGGCAGAAATTCAGGCATGCCTTTCAAGTTAAAAGACTGAACATTTTCACAATCATTGCAGAATTTATATATCTACAGGAATTTTGCCTTCAAAATACTTAACTTGCTCCAAACATCTTTGGAATTGCTGTCTGGCATTGCCAGCTTACCAACCTACAAGAAAATCAGTTGTTTCATTACTTTCCAGTTACAGAACCTTCACCATTGGTCTTACAATAAGAATGAATCACATTTGCATAGCACTTTAAGATTTACAAAACACTTTCCTCATAACAATTCTATGTGACTGTCATAGCATAGGCAAACTGAAAACGCAGATAAGTGACTTGCTTGGGGTCATACAGCTTGTAAATGTCAGAATTGGAACTCAAATTTAAGTCTCCCCACTCAAAGACGAGTAATCTTTTAAATATTTCTACCAAAACATCTTTTCTTCCTTTCTTCTTTCTTTCTTTTCATTTACTGTAATAACTTCAATTTCTTCTCTCTGACAGAATGGTCATTTCAGTCCCAGGGGGACATTATCTCCCAGAGTAACTGAGCCAATAGTCCAAAGACACCCAAGAGGGGTTGTGTTGCTGGTGACCTAGAGCTAAATAACCCCAAGCAGAGGAGTAATAGGACCTAACTAAGGCTAGGAGCTCTGGAAAAGCCTTATGTGAAACATGTAAGAAAGAAGACTGACTGACAGTTTCATGTCTGTGCTATCTGCCAGAAATTTAACTTAGAATGCTTTTGGCTATAAGGTAATATTGTATGAGTGCCATGATAAAGAATACCAGAATTGAAACCACCATGAGTTTTTATGTGTGTATGTATGTACATATATATACATGTATGTAGCATTTATTAAGTGCTTTCTTTGTGTAAAGCTTTTTTTTTTTAAACCAAAGCATGGGAGAGTGGACAAAAAGTCTTGAAGTTAGGAAAACCCAATCTCAAGTTCTGTCTCACAACACATAAGACTGTGTGATCCTGAACAAGTCCCTCAACCGGTGAGCACAAAGAAGATTGTAAGTGGCAGAGGAGGTGCTGATCTACATTGATAGAGAAAGTTCATCAGCAGGAGCTACCTACACAGGTCCAATAAAAGTTTATATTATGGTACATTGTATTGTATTACATTATTTATGTTATATAGTCTTATTATATTACACTATATTGTATTATGCTATGTCATGTTGTATTGTATTATATTATTTATTTTATATTGTATTATATTATGTTATATTGCACTATATTAGATTATGTTATGTCATGTGTTGTGTTGTATTATATTATTTTATATAATGTCTTATATGTAGAAAATCACCTATTTAAGTGTAGGCAGCTTGAAGGATAAAGCATTGGACCTGGGGTCAGCAACATCTGAATTCACATCCTGCCTTGCCTATTTACTTGCTATGTGACCTGGGCAAGTCACTTGCCCTCTGTCTGCTTTAATTTTTTATCTGTAAAATGGAGATGATAATAGCACTTACCTCTCAAAGGTAGTTGTGAGGATCAAATAAGACAGTATAGAGTGTTTTGCAAACCTCAAAGTGATAGAGAAACGCTCGCTGCTGCTGTTGTCATTGTTATTATTAACAAAAGTTAAGTACACATCTGTGAATGACCTAATGGGTTCTGCCCAGGGTTTGACAATCGATGAGAGTCATTCAAAATTGTTAGGATTAAACATTTCCCTTGGGAAAAAAAAATCCTTCAGCTGAGCTACAGTAAACAGGTCTTTGCCTTTTCATTGATTATTCCCCATTCCTGGAATGTTCTTCCTCCCTATCTCTTCCTCTTCGAATCTCAGATCAGTATAAACTTTAGCTCATGCTGTCTCCTCCAGGAGGCCCTTCCTGGGCTCCCACCTACTACTTCCAGGCTGACTTCTGACACTCTTTCCAGGCTGTCTTCTCTCTTTTGTTGTTCAGTTGTTTTTCAGTCGTGTCCGACTGTCTGTGACCCCATTTGGGGTTTTCTTGGCAAGGATACTAGAGTGATTTGCCATTTCCTTCTCCAGCTCATTTTACAGATGAGGAAACTGAGGCAAATGGGGTTAAGTGACTTGCCCAAGGTCACACAGCTAGTATGTGTCTGAGGCTGGATTTGAACACGAGAAAAAGAGTCTTCCTGGCTCCAGGCTCAGCACTCTGTCCACTGTATCACCTCGCTACTCAATCTTCCCTTTATTCTCATTAATCTTGTGTGTTCTGATATAGGTATATTTTCTCCCCTATTAGAGTGTAAGCTCCTTGGGGGCAGAGATTGTTTTTTGCTTTCTCTTGGTATCTTCAGTGCTAAGCATAGGGCATGTAATATACTAAGCACTTAATACATGTTTATTGATTGATGCATTGCTGAGATAGAAAGGAACTTTAATGCCTCTCTATTCCTTTAAAAGTCATCAAAGCCCAAATATCTTATCATTGCTTTTTTTTAAGTGTTATTATGTTAATTAAAGTTAGCTTTAGTTGGGGTAACAATATCCACATCATTATGAGCTCTTTTTTGAAGTATGTTAATCAGACCATTAACTAATATTGGTGGAACAGAATGAAAACAGATCCTGCATGCTCTTCAAGCTTATACAGAATCAAAATGGTACTATAACTTAAATTTGATAAGAAGCTGTTACTGTCTCTGAAAGATGACACCCTTCAACAATCTCTTTCCCATTAGGGCCCATCTTCCTCAGTAGCATGGCAGACAGCACAGAACACTGGACTTAGCAGCAGGAAGACCTGGGTTTGAATCTTCTCTCAAACACTAGCAAGCCAATTAACATTTCTGAACCTCTGTTTCTTCATCTCTAAAATGAAGTGGTTTTGGTTACCCAGACTCACAGCCTTAATTTCATCCTTGACTCCTCAGTCATGTTGTTCAGTTGTTTTAGTTGTGTCCAACGCTTTGTGACCACATTTGGGGTTTTCTTGGCAAAGATATAGCAGTGGTCTGCCATTTCCTTATCCACCTCATTTTACAGATGAGGAAACCAAGGCAAATAGGAGGAAGTGACTTGCTCAGGGTCACAAAGCTAGTAAGTGCCTAAGGCTGGATTTGAATGCAGGTCTTCCTGACTACAGGCCTGGCACTCAACCCACTGTGTCACCTAGCTGCCTTTGGTTATACTCACCCCACATATCCAATGTGTCATCAATTCTTGCCATTTCTAACTTCATAACACCTCTCTTATACCTCTTATCCTCTCCACTTACATAGCTACCACTGGGGTGCAAGCTCTCATCACACCTGGACTACTGCAACAGCCTTCTGGTTGTTCTCTCTGCTTCAAGTCTGTCCTCATTCCAACCCACCCTCTTCTTAGCTGCCAAAATAATTTTCCTGCAGTACTGGCATGACTATGTTCCCTCTCTATTCAATAAACTCCAGTAGCTTTATATTACCTCCAGGATCAAATACCAAATCCTCTGTTAGTCATTTAAAGACCTTCAAAACCTGGCTTTTTACCTTCTGGTCTTGTTGCACCCTCCTTCCCTCCATGTCCTCTATGCTCTAGCTACCATGACCTCTTTGCCCTCCCTTGCACACAACACTCCTCATCCTCACTCTGCCTTTGACTGTCTGTCTCACATACCTGAAAAGCTCTCCCTTCTCACCTCTGCCTTCTGGCTTCCTTAGGGACTCAGTTCAAATCCTACCTTCTATAGGAGGCCTTTTCTAGTCAGCTCATCTGCTGGTGCCTTC